GTCCTCCAACCTTCCAATTACAGTAAAAGTAATTACCGACACTTTGGTCAACAAGTTAGTCCTTGATAGGCTGATACATCTCACATAGAGTTAGATGTAATTTTTAAACATGTTAAGGAATGATGGAAGAGACGAGGGCTGCACAATACGAATTGCCAGAAACCCCAACTACCAATCAGCCCTCACTCCATGCGACTATTTATTTTTGGTGCACATTTGAAATTTTAATTGTTTGTTGCACAGTCTCGCTAGACCGAAGACGAACTGGGGAACCAGTCTCTAAAATTTATTGATTAAGTTTACCTTTTTTGTCCCAAAGAACATATGTTCTTCAAATTACTTCTCTTGAGATGCCTCATTTCCAATTTGTTAAATGTAAGTCGCAAATTTGCGACTTAGTCAAGGACGATTCTTCAGGGTTTGGTAATTTCGGTCTTCAGCCATGATGCATTTCTAGCGATCGCCCGGTGTTATTTGATTAGTCTGTCTGATTTTATTTATGCTCAATGGAGGACGTTTTTGCGAGAAAATTTTGAAATGATACTTTCAACATAAGGCGTTTTTCTCTCTCTCTCTCCTTACTTCACGAGGGCCCGGCCCTGGCACCATTTATCTTTGCTTAAACCTTTTTTACTGTCTGAAAGTCACTTTTTTCTGCGAGCACAGTTGCAGTCATATCTGTAGTTGTTAGTGCTGCTTGTTAAACTGTATTTTAATTGATGCGTCTGTCTGTCAAACGGGTTAAAAAATGTAAATTTTCTCACCAATCTGCGGCTACTGTCTAACACGCATGCGTAAGCGCATTCCAAAGTCAAGCATGCTTTTTTCATGCATCATCATCATCATCATCATCATCATCATCATCATCATCATCATCATCATCGATCATCATCATCATCATCATCATCATCATCATCATCATCATCATCATCATTAACCATCATCATCATCATCATCATCATCATCATCATCATCATCATCATCATTATCGTCTCATCATCATCATCATCATCATCATCATCATCATCATCATCATCATCATCACTGTTTGCTGATTGGCAACTTTGCCTGCTTATATATTTCTCCAGGAGTTCAGAAAACTCGACAAGAAAATAATAAGCCTGAAAAGTAGTTTTTTCGGCTTAGTTTCATCTTTAAAAACAATTAAATTTTTAAAAATTGGTGTCTAGTAATAAACTCGGTTGCGTTTTAGCCCCAATCTGGGCACCAAATCTATTGTCTATTAACCTCCATTTTATATTTTTCCAGGCCTGTAACGTGAGAGCGAAGACTGTGATGTAAAAAATAAGCTTAGTTTGATTCAAACGTACTCCGAAAATCTGCAAAATCAATGGTTTGAAGGCATTATCTCATGGCTCTTTAACTGTCCAACTAAATATTGAAGTTGAACCGAATATTGATTGACCCAATTGTGGAAGATTCGCGGCCTCAGTGGGAGTCGAACCCACACAGCAAGGAAGGCTTTTGCGCAGCCAACACTCAACCCTTGAGCTACAAGGCTTACCGTGCAAGGTGAATTTACTCACACTTTGATCGATTTTACTCGCCCATGTTATCGCTCGTATGGAATCCACCATTACGGATGCAATAAACTGACTGCCCAGGCAGGATTTACTAAGCAGTCGCCTAGAATCCGCCAGAATGACTACTAGGCTCACTTAGTTGTTAGGGGGGGGGGGTTGACAAATTTGCTTAATTCAGTTGACCAAATTGTGAAAAATTCGCAGTCGAATATATATTCAATTGTTTCTCAGTCGATGCTGTCCATTATGTACGTTGGTCTGCCAAGTACCGTTGGTGTTTTTTTTCGCTTTTTAACTTATTGTCCAACGGGCAGTCCGAGTTCTCGTAGGTACCGGGCTGCGTATCGACCCACTGATGCTCTGCAATATGAAAGGATCTAAGCCCGGGGTCGGCAACCTACGGCTCGCGAACCAGGTGTGGCTCTTCTGATGATTGCGTCTGGCTCTCTCGGATAAAACTGGAAATAAAAATCTCTGATGTTTCGGCTCCCCTAGCAGTTG